TTGTTGTTATAATATTCTTGACCTTTCTGAATTTGTTCCCCAAACAAGAAGTTAAAAAATAGTGGGGGTGGTGGGGAGAAAAATGTTTGTACGCTGGATCAAATACAGTGCTGGTCCTTTGGAAGAAATTCTGTTTTCAAGCCATTTAGTCTTAGGGGATGGAGGAATACACTGTTGGAGGAAAATGGGAAGAACTGGCCTGTTCATGCTTGTAGTAGTGCCTTGGGTGCCAGGCCTGCTTGGAAAGGGTGAGTCTTTAGGACAGTCAATGGAATTATAAAAGGATTGTGCTTTGAGTATTTTCATAACAGTTAAAATATGTAACATTGCTAAGATATATAAGATGTGTATATATATAGCTGTATATATGTATGTATATATCATTTTTACTGATATAATTGACATAACAGTTTCAGGTATACAACATGATGATTATATACAATGTGTGTATATATATAATATATATTATATTACATATATTATAATATGTATGTATTATATGTGTTGTCTATACATAATGGATATATTTGTCTCAAAGCAATGACCACAATAAGCCTAGTTAATGTCCATTACCACACATAGTTACAAATTTTTATTCTTGTGATGAAAACTTTTAAAATCCACTTTCAAGATACATTAGCTACTCTCAAATATACGTTACGATATTACTAAATGTACATTGTACATGTTCATCATGCTGTCCATTACACCCCCAGGACCTGTTTATTTTGTAACTGGAAGTTTGTGCCTCTGACTACCTTCACCCATTTTGCCTACTGCCCACCCCTACCTCTGGCAATCACCAATCTGTTCTCTGTATCTGTGAGTTTTTTGGGTTTGTTTTTACTTTTATATTTTAGATTCCACATAAAAGTGAGATCATACAGTATTTGTCTTTCTCTGTCTGACTTATCTTGCTTAGCAGTATGCCTTCAAAAGTCACCCATGTTGTCCCAAATAGCAATAATTCCTTTTTTTGTAGCTGAATGATATTCTATTGTATATGTATGTATCACATTTTCTTTATCCATTGATGGACGCTTAGGTTGTTTGCATGTCATGGCTATTGTGAGTAATGTTGCAGTGAACATGGGGGTGCAGATGCCTTTTAGAGTTAGTGTTTTTGTTTGCTTCAGAAGCAGCAGTGTTGGATCATACAGTAGTTCTATTTTTAATTTTTGAGGAACCTCCATGGTGTTACCCATAGTGGCTATACCAATTTACATTCCCACAGTGCCCAAGTGTTCCCTTTGCCCCACATTCTTGCCAACACTTGTTATTTCTTGTCTTTTTGAAAAAATAACAGCCACTGTAATAAGTATGAGATAACATCTCATTATGGTTTTGTTTTTTGTGTTTTCGGCTGCACCCTGCAGCTTGCAGGGTCTTAGTCCCCTGACCAGGGATCAGACCCCTGCTCCCTGCAGTGGAAGCATGGCATCCTAACCACTGGACCGCCAAGGAATTCCCTCATTGTGGTTTTGATTTGCAGTTCTCTGATGATTAGGGATGTGGAGCATCATTTCTTGTTTCTGTTGACTATCTGTATGTCTTCTTTGGGAAAGTGTCTATTCAGATCCTCTGCCCATTTTTTAATCAGATTGTTTGGGGGTTTTTGCTATTGAGTTGTATGAGTTCTCTATATATTTTGGATATTAACCGCTTATCAGATGTATGATTTGCAAATATCTTCTCCCATTTGGTAGGTTGCCTTACCATTTTGTTGATGGTTTCCTTTGCTGTGCAGAAGCTTTCTAGTTTGATGTAGTCTCACTTGTTTACTTTTGCTTTTGTTGTTTTTGCTTTTGGTGTCAGAGCCAAAAAATTATAGCCAAGACTGATGTCAAAGAGCTTACCACCTATGTTTTCATCTAGGAGTTTTATGTTTTCAGGTCTTATATTCAAGTCTTTAATCCATTTTGAGTTTATTTTATATGTTTCTTTTGCATGTGGCTGTCTAGTTTTCCCAACACCATTTATGGCAGAAACTGTCCTTTCCCTATTGTATATTCATAAAATGAATATATATATCTCTGCTTACAAATGTCTGGCTCCTCCTTAGAGTGCAAAATCCATGAGGGCATGAGCCTGGCTTGTTTACTGTTCAGGCTCCAGTCTTGGGCATGTAATAGGTGCTCAATAAAAATTTTTTGTATAAATAAATGAATATATCCTTCCTTCTTTGAAGGGTCTTGTTGAGGGTGGAGATGTTGTCTTTTATTTCTTGGTCTCTCCAAGACTTGAGAAATGTTTGTGATTTGAATGTTTTATTTTATTCATTCATCAATTCTTATTGAGCATCTACCACATGCCAGACACTGTGCTAGGTACTGAGGATACAGCAGTGTATAAAACTGAGAAAACTCTTGTTTTCACAGACATTAGTGAGAGGAAATGGACAATGAATATAATAAACTAGTAAATTCTTAAAATTTTTTGCCAATTTTGGAATATAATTAATATCCCTATTTACTTCCTATTTCTGAAGAACAAAGTATTATACCTTTCCTGTAATAAAATTGTAGATGATGCAAAGCCTGCTGGGGAGACAACAAATTCACCCCCTTCCTAGAGAAAATAAGAACATGTTAATAATAAGGCATGAGAAAAAGATAAGGATGAGAAAGGGACAGTAGCAAAAGGATTGTTTCCTCCTTAGCTGAGCTTCCTGCCCTGTTAGCCTGCCATCTTATCCCGACTGCTTTCCCCACACATCTGTCCTTTTCAATCTTGAAAGCCCGTCGTGATGTTTGCAGTGGAGGATTTTGAGTGACCCTGAACTAGCCGTTGCCAAGGTATCCCTACTTACTACTCACAGCAGGAATAATAAATCTGCCTGTGTGCTGTCTCCTTCCATTTCAAGACACATAATAATGAATTCAGAGCAGGAAGTAAAGAGAGTTATCTCATGTAATAATAGCCTTGTACCTTAAAAAAAAAATACTTTTTGTAAACAAATTCATTATCTCATTGGATACTTTCAAGACCACAGTGAGTTGAGATGAGGATTTCAGGAACTTCCCTGGTGGCGCAGTGGTTAAGAATCCGCCTGCCAATGCAGGAGACACGGGTTTGAGCCCTGGTCCAGGAAGATCGCACATGTCACAGAGCAGCTAAGCCCGTGCACCACAACTGCTGAGCCTGTGCTCTGGAGCCCGTGAGCCACAATTACTAAGCCTGTGTGCCACAACTACTGAAGCCTGCGTGCCTAGAGCCCATGCTCCACAACAAGAGAAGCCACTGCAATGAGAAGCCCGTGCACTGCAGTGAAGAGTAGCCCCTGCTCACCGAAACTAGAGAAAGCCCGCACACAGCAGCGAAGACCCAACACAGCCAAAAATAAGTATTAAAAATAAATGAGGATTTCAGTTATGGTGTCCAGATACCCCCAATTAAACCTTATATTGTCCCATCATTTGTCCTGGATTTTTTTTAACAGACTTTATTTTTTTTAGAGCAGTTTTAGGTTCACAGCAAAATTGAATGGAAGGTACAGAGATTTCTCATTTACCTCTGTCCTCATACACACACAGCCTCCCTATCAACATTGCCCACCAGAATGGTACATTGGTTACAGTGGATGAACCTGCATTGACATATCATCACCGAAAGCCTATAGCTCACATTAGGGTTCACTGTTGGTGTTGTATATTCTGTGAGTTTTGACGCATGTATAATAACATATACCTACCATTATAGGTCCTACGGAGTTTCATGGCCCTAAAAACCTTCTGTGTGTCTGCCTATTCGTCCCTCTGTCCTAGACCTTTCATTCTGTGATAAAGTGTCATTATAATTTTAGATTTGAAAATATTTTTGATAGAATTATTTAATAGGTTTTTCATTATAGTAAAGCTGCTTTCTTGGTTAATAAATATTTTACAAAGTTATGTAAATTTAATGATTTCTAGAGCCTACTTTTACTTGCAGAGGGGTCCTGATTTGGATGATAAATTACATGGTCTCCATAATTACAATCTGCATTTAAGGGGAGAAAAACTGGTCCCCAGAGAAAAGGGGACTCTCCCTGGTATGTCTGGCCAATCGGGTGTAGAGCAGGACTGAAGTCCAGGTGTTCTGATTTCTGGCATTTTCTACACAAAAGACACAAAGCCAGACGGGGAGACAACTCAGATCTCAAAGCTTATCACATCCTTAAGTAGTTTAAAGTTATGAAAGTGGGATTGCTTCTGCATTTCTAATTCAGACGTGAGAAAATTCACTATGTACGTAAATAATGTAGCCGGTGAGGAATAGAACAGACTGAGAGAAGCCCAGATCAACACGCAGGCAGGCAGGTGGGGATCTGCCTGAAGAGGATGGAATAATACGAGGAAGGTTGGGTTTAAAAGGGAGTACTGTGCTCTTAGAGAAGATTCCATAAATCGTTAAGTCAGTGAGGAAAAACATCTTCAGATGTTTGATGGTATTCTGAGACTGAAATTAGAGTTTCATTTGCATATTTCTGGGACACGGATGCATCTATTTATCCAGCAGAATGAGTCTAGGTTCTGATCAAATACATACTGAACTTGCCTAATATGATAATCAACCGTCCTGTAGTATCACCCACGTATAATTTTATTACAATGTTAGCATCCTAAAGATTGAAGTGATTATTAACTTTTCCATAGCAAATCAGAAGGAAATTGTTTCATAGAGGGTTAGGTTTTCATAAAGACCAATTCCTGTTCTTATATTCACTTTAAGGTGTTGTATTTAATATAGACCCTGCTGTAGAAACACAGTTAGCCTAAGTCAGACAGGAAAGAGCAATCACTCCTTTACAAAATAAATCACAAGGGGTCGGGGGAACAACTAACACACAGAAGGCAGTGGTCAATAACACAGGGTGGTGTGTGGAGTTGATTCTCCACCCCCAGGCACTGTTCAGATGTGTTGCCTTAGGTGCTATCCCGGTGACAGGGTATTAACTTTAGGTGTTTTATTTGTGAATGGTGTGGAGATATGCATTTATCTTATTCATTTATTTTCGTCAGGCCTCTCTATCCGGAGTGTGTGCTGGAAAGCAGACCGCCTTCTAGCAGGGACCCAGGACAGCGAGATATTTGAAGTGATCGTGCGAGAACGGGACAAGCCAATGCTGATCCTGCAGGGCCACTGTGAGGGGGAGCTCTGGGCTCTGGCCCTGCACCCCAAGAAGCCGCTGGCTGTGACAGGCAGCGATGACCGCTCTGTCAGGTGAGGCCCTAGAAGTGGTGGCTGTAACCTCACTCACCTCCCTGGGATAACAGATTCAGTTTGCCCAAATTTGTTTATTACTTTCAGAGAAGGATAACCCACAGTGCAGAACCTCACAATTTCCAAACAGAATGTTAAGCCATTTTGCTTAACAACAGTTGGCTTCTTGACCTTTTCTTGTTGCTATCTTTCTTTGGCTCCATCTTAAGTCAAGAATATGTTCTTAGAAGTGAAAATTCACTGCTGCTGGTTAGATTGGCCTCCAGGTCTCTTCCAGCTGAAGATGTAAGCTGAGTGCACTCATCTGTGATAAGATCATGTTTCTTCCTGTACCTTCGGTCCTGCTGGAGGCAGCCTGGCAATTTCACAGCTGAGTCACTCATCAGTTTAGTCACAGACTAAACATCACCAAGAGAACTGAAATTCTGATTTTCAAAGTCGTCTTTAACACGTGAGTCATTAATTCTTTCTTTGCTCAAAATTCCCTGTGAGAATTTACAATGTCTTCAGATCAAAGGAAAGTGCGGGTTCCTAAGAAAATATGCCCATTTTTTTAGGGCCTCAAGTGTTCTCACTATGGATCACCTGTTATTTGAGAACACGACAGTAGTAACATGAGCAAAGTGATTATGCTTCCACTGTTCTTGAGACTGTTGAAAGACTGATTTGAAAGTGTGAGATGAAGACTATTCCACTGATTCCAGTATTTCCGTACTACTGAGCTTTAAGTGTGCTCAGCAATAAGCAGGCCAGAGAGTCCGTGACAGTGAGAGGAAGAGACTGATTGATATTCAGTTGATGGATTACTGCTTCTGGGTTTGAATAGCTAAAGTGGAGCACTGTATACTAGACTAAAGGTCACTGCTCCCCCCCGCCCGCCCTTATTCTGTATGTTTGTGAATTGAATCCAGTTGCAATGGGTATACTCATTAGAAAAGCATAAATCCAAAGATAAAACCATTTTTGAGTTTCTACTGAGCACTAAAGCCTCATCAATCTAAAAATCAGTGAAAACGATTACAATTTTCTCTTCATGTGACATAAATGTTTATTTGGCTTTTACTTCTCTACACTCACTTCCTCCTCCTCTCTTCCTTTTCCTTCCATTACTCTGAGCCAAACCAATGCCAAGTTATTCAGACACCCAAGAAACTCGATTCATACCCATCCAGATAGAAGGGACTTCAAGGAAGTTTTTGGCTTTTATATTTTAACAACTGTGTTGAGTCTTAGAATTGCAAAGAGCCCTTACTGCCAGAATTTGTATTACTTTCCTTAACCATTAATTTGGCTAAAGTTTTAAATGGCATTTTTACACTGAGTATTGAAATGTAGGAAGGGTATAAGTCATAATTTCTTGATAAAGATTAGCTTAGCGGCTTTATAAGATTAGTGCAGTTTGCTGAGGAGTGATGGTTTCTTCATGCTAGTCAAGCAAAGCTTACATTGCTTAAAATAGTACAAGGCTAAAAGCAGCGTGAGATTATGAATAATGGACAAGGTATTGAAAGCATACCATAAGCTTTAGGCTGAACAGTGCAGGCTGCCTAAGGGATAAACTATTCACGGCGCAGCCCTGCATTGCAAGGCGCATGCCACCATCCCTCCTGAGGGCGGAATGCATTTAGAGAAATTGCACCGCATTTGACTTATTCGTGGTTCTTTATGACAGGACTTAGATTCTCAGACCCCCTCGCAGATACTGTTGTTTGCACGTTAAGAGAAGACTGTCTTCAGAGTAGTAACAGAGAGAGGTCAGATGCCGCAATTGCGTCTCACATGGAAACCCTTATTTGGGTCTTCAGATGTTTAGTTTGTGTTCTCTCAGTTTGAGGTGCCTGGATTAGGTGTTCCAAGGAGCTGCTGAAAATTCTGTGAGTGGCACTTGCACTTGACCTCTGTTTCTCCAGCAGTAGCTGTGCTCATCAGCCAGGGGCACGGCGAAGTATCCCCCGCCGCCCCGGCCCCAACCAAGAGGGGACCCATCAGCAGTGGGGCGCCCAGGTTGCTCGTGAGGAGTGACAGCATATGACTGTGTACAGCCAACTTTGGAACCATCCTGGGCAGGGGTATCATTCGTTCTTCTCCATCTAAAATACTTCTTGCTCAGGAGGCCAGCAAATGTAATGTGTATTTCAATCTGTATGTGCTTACATAACACAGTTACTAGAATGGAACTCGTATTTTTTTTTTAAAAAAAAGCAATAACAGCATCTAGTAGTACTTCTTATCCTATAAGTGTTATTAACAGCCATTGGTATAAATCCAGAACAATTTTTAATCTCCAAAGTATAATTTTGTGTGAAGTAGTGTTTAAAATTACCTTATTTTATGCATCTCAAAATCTTTGGAAATGTTATCTCATTTTATATTTCTTGCTGGGTATTTCAAATGGTGAGAATCACATAAAGATAGACTAAACACTTTCCCAGATTCCCAGACATGCCAAGAGGAAGGACACTGGTGTGAGGTTACTGCAGTCTTTCTTGTTATTATCGCAGTGGTGAACAGGCCTTCGGCCTTGGGCTGGCTGATGACTATGAGAAGTTGTTTTGTTTCGTCTTTGACTTTGAACTGTGCTTAGGCTGTGGAGCCTGGCAGACCATGCCTTGATCGCCCGCTGTAACATGGAGGAAGCGGTTCGAAGCGTTGCTTTCAGCCCCGATGGATCTCAGTTGGCCCTGGGCATGAAGGACGGATCTTTCATTGTTCTCCGAGTCAGGCATGTACTGATACTGAAAATGACATTAGAGATATTCTTTTGTTAAAATTAATTCTCCTGGTCAGAATGTATGCCAGGACCTTAGGAAAAATGCATTTACTGTTTTGAATAGGAGCACTGTAGATTCACAACCGCCTGTCTATAGTTACAAAGTCCAAACACTCTGAGCGTCCGAAGTTCTTTGGTAACTTGTTTGGCAGCACTGCCTGACCCAGTGAACTGGATGTGCGATTGTTTACAGTCTGTTAATCTCTTAGTAGGGATAGTCATGTATCATCTGATTTGCTGCAAAAATATTACTGTGTTCAAAAGGGGTTGCTGTCTTAACTCCTACTGGGGATGTTATGTAATAGATTGTATGCAAACCTTTCTAAAATCCAATGAATGATAAACTCCCAAGCTTGTCTGGTCCCAGGGGTTTTAGATAAGAGATATGGGCTTGTAATAAGCCAAGAAAAGAGGAAGAAAGACGAAAGCAGCCTCCCAACAGCACTAAATTTTTAGAGGTAAACTTAAGTCAAGATTTTTCTACCTATAATCACCAATAAAATGGAACATTTCGTATTTATCAACCTCCTATATTATTTCTACTGGAAAAAAATTATGACCCACCCTTGTAATTATTTGAAAACATTGGTTATTCTTTTGGATTACACATTTTGTGATTACAGAAAGTAAATGTAGCTGTAGATTAGATACTGCATCTCTCACACACAGCAAGTTCTATGTAGCTCTTGGCATGGTTTATTACACTAAATTCTCATCACCAGCCACACAACTTATTACCAAATGGGTGGGCAGCATTTTCTTTCTTTGCTTAGCGATGTGTGAAAAGATAGCTAATTACCAAATTTTCTTTTTGATGGATTTCCCAAGCTAAAAAACAATCCTCCCACACCTATTTTATGGCATTATAGTAAACTATAATGCTATTAGTAAATGATGCAGCAGGTATGAGAAATTATTATGTGGAAGCAAATATTTGGCATTATTTATGCATTCAGTTCATTTTAGAGTTGATGAAGGCATCATTACTAGTTCAGGGGACCTGCTAGTCATAATCTTGTCTTATAGCTATGGGGGAAAAGCCTCAGTGAGCTTTCAAATAAGAGTAGAAATTCTTACCAGAAACTTATCAGAAAGGATATGGAATATTCCAGTGATTCAATGTAGGCATTATTGACCTTTCATAGTGAAAGTTAAATAATTACATAAAAATTCAACATTAAAAAAGTAGTTTTCCTCTTCTGCTTTTTGGACTTGCTCTTTCTACAATAAGCATCAAGCTTAACAGTCACTGGTTTCTTGTTCTTAAAGTATTAGAAAGATAGTTTATTTTTATGTTAACCTTGATATGTTTTACCTTTCTCTGTGACATATTTTTAAAACAATTTTACAAACCCCAAATTTTAATAAAAAGTTTTAGAGAAAAAGAATACATATAATTGAACATGAAAGCAAAAATGCATTTCATTAAAATTGTTTTGTTTTTTACTTTGGGAGCCCAAAATATTATTTAAAATGTTTAATTTCTCCTACTTTGGCCATGAACTAAATAATGTTTTATATCTTTCCATAAAAGTTAATTCTGTAATTCCTGTAGTTTTTCTCTCCCTTTCAAAGTAATTTTTTTCTGTGGCACACAGATTTTAAAACATGACTTGGGGTTCCTATCTCTAGATTTGCTGCTTATCGCTTTGCTTTTCTATTCTTATAGAGATATGACAGAAGTGGTTCATATCAAAGATCGAAAAGAAGTCATTCACGAAATGAAATTTTCTCCAGATGGTTCTTATCTGGCAGTGGGATCCAATGATGGCCCAGTAGATATCTACGCTGTCGCCCAGCGGTATAAGAAAATAGGAGAATGCAACAGGTCTCTCAGTTTCATCACACACATCGACTGGTCTTTGGATAGTAAATACTTGCAAACTAATGACGGTGCCGGAGAACGGCTCTTCTACAAAATGCCATGTAAGTCACAAGGGCAATGAATGTTTGTACAAAGCGCAACTCTGAACCATGGCAGAAAATTTATGAGGATATTCTTAGGACCTCAGGGCAAGGAATGTTTTCTGAAACAAGACCCTCAAACCACAAACTCTCAAAGAACAGATTCATAAATTGGAACACATTAAAATAAAAAATTATTGCACAGCAAAAGAGACCATGATGGGCATAAATACTTGGAATTGTTATAATGGACAAAGCATATACATGAACAATACAAGTTTGAACTGTACCAGTCTACTTCTGTGCAGATTTTTTTAGTTGTAAATACTACAGTACTACATGGTAGGAGGTTGGTTGAATCTGTGGTTGTGGAACCATGGATGCAGAGGGTCAACTCTAAGTTATACATGGATTTTCGACAGCATGGAGAGTTGGTGGCCCTAGCCCTCAAGTTGTTCGAGGGTCAGCTGTACACCTATAATATATAAAGAATGCCTAAAGATAAGCAAAAGGAAAAAATACTAGGAAAATACTAAAAAAAATACTGAAGATTTGAGGATCACAGTCAACTACTATGATTGCTTTCGTCTCTTTTGTGTCCTTCATAATTGGAAGCCCTTATACGATTATTTGGTGAAATATGCTCATTGGGATTAAAAAACCCACAAATTTTATTTGTAACCCTCACTATAACTTCTGTATGAGATTTATCTTATTCATCTTATTTATATAGTACTCATTTAGTAACATTTAATCTGTGATGTTAAAATGTCATAAATAAAAGATAGATTTCTGTATTACAATCTTTGATTAATGATTTTTTATAATGTAAAAGGAAAAATTTGATATTTAACATGAATCTTGACCGCAAAGAATTATATTTTAATTTTGTATTGAAAAATCAATTTTACCATAAAACAAGGTGTGACATATCTTCAACATTTTTAATAGTCTCTGCCCTATCAATTCATCAGTATACCTTTACTAGGTACATATTTTTTTGTGTCTACTTTCTCTGCTTGACAGTATTTCGTATATATTTTCATACGTGAAAAAATATGGAACACATTTTTGTCGTTTGCAGAAACAAAGTAACACCCTACTCAGTGATATCAAAGATACCAGTGTTATCTTTGCTGGTACACACAGTGCAGATCCAAATATCTTTGTAGAGGTGGGATTTTTCTCTTGTGAATTACTTCCTTGGACTATATTCTTTAAAGCAGGAACACTGGATCCAAGACTATGTTCAGACTATAAACTCTCCGATTCTGTGGTCTTCATAATGGATTTTTATATAATGCTGTGTTAGAGTCTAGAATTGCCAATTTGACAGTGCACCAGTAATGTACAAGAGCATCTATTCTCATAGGTTCTTTATTTGAAAATATTTGTTATTTTTGAGGGGGAATGTATGAGGTAATACACTTAATTGTCTTGATTTTGAATTTTTAAATTGTGCATGACTAAGCATTTTTCCAAGCTTTTCCTTATCCATGGGCTTCCTCCTTTTTGTGCTCCCTGGGGACGTCCCTTACCAGCTGCTGGTGAAAACTGGGTATTGTGCCCCACACATAAGACCATACCTAGAACAATTGTCAGGACTATTTTCCCCAGCTAATTACATTTATTTCATCAAAATTTGGTGGATTTTCATTGTCTAGCACTTTAAAATTTAAATAGAAAATCCATTCAGTTTTTCCACTAATTAATTGAGGCTGACTTCTAAAAAATCACTTCTGTGGTTCCTTGAATTATGAAAAGTAGGAGTTCAGAATAAACTCTTTAAAAACCTGGCAAAATGTTAGTAACTAAATATAATAATATATAATTTAATAATAGTCATTTCATCAATAACACAAAGCATAATATCATCTGTATCTAAATAATTAAGGTCAAGTAAATATCAGTAGTTTAAGACATTAGATTTAGTACCATGATCATTTTCTTTCTCCTATCGGAGTTTTGAGCATGTGCTTCCTTTAAACCCTGCTAGAAAAAAAATTTCACCATTTGGGGAAAGAGATTAGAATTTATAGTTTCCTTGGTTTCTAAACATTTTAAAACAAAGGTTTTAGACCTCTATGAGAAAAATGAATAAAGTAAATTAGGATATGATTTTATTTAAATGTAACATTATATTAAAACTTATTGATTATTTTCAGCTGGGAAGCCTTTAACAAGTAAAGAAGAAATCAAAGGGATTCCCTGGGCCTCCTGGACATGTGTGAACGGCCCAGAAGTGAGTGGGATTTGGCCAAAATACACTGATGTCACTGACATCAACTCAGTGGATGCAAATTACAACAACTCAGTACTGGTGTCTGGAGATGATTTTGGACTGGTTAAATTGTTTAAGTTTCCTTGTCTCAAGAAAGGTAAGGCCAAAAGAAATGTTTCTTTGAATGAAGATTTGATCTAGAATATACATACAGTATAATTAAGGCTTATTTTCTTGATGTCTGTTACTGCAGACTATTCATTTTATCTTTATATTTACTCTAACATTTTTCAATAGAAAGTTTGCTATCTTCTGCTTTTGACATTCTGAAATGTGGTTTTGCAAATTTAAGTCAGCATTTGTTAACAGAGATGTTACTCAACATTTCGTGATTCATAAACTTCATGTTTTAAACAAGTTGTATTCTATTTTATTTATATATATGTAAATATAATAATTTAAATTACATGTTACATTAAAATATTGTAATTAAAATTCTTTTATGTGTTACACCTAATTGTGCTTATACATAGGAAGCAAAGCAAATCCTTATAGACATATTTAAAATAAAATCTGAAAGTGATTGTTGTGGTGATAATACAGTTTGTGGACCCCTTCTGATAGCACTAATTTTGCACACCAGACTTACGTAACTGGTGAAATTTTTTTATTGAAGTATAATTGATATACAGTGTATATATAATTGTATATACAATGTATATATAATTGTATATACAATGTATATACAAATGTATATACAATATACAATTTCTGCTGTACAGAAAGTGAATTAGTTATACAAATATATACACTCTTTTTAAAATTCTTTTCCATTATGGTTTATTACAGGATATCAATTATAGTTCCCTGTGCTGTATATTAGGACCTTGTTGTTTATCCGTTCTGTATATTAATAGCTTGCATCTGCTAATCCCAAACTCCCAATCCATTCCTCCCCCAACCCCCTCCCCCTTGGTAACCACAGATCTGTTCTCTGTGTGTGAGTCTGTTTCTGTTTGGTAGATAAGTTCATTTGTGTCATATTTTAGATTCCACATATAAGTGATATCATATGGTATTTGTCTCTTTCTGACTTGCTTCACTTAGTATGATAATCTCTAGTTGCATCCATGTTGCTGCAGATGGCATTATTTCATTCTTTTTTATGGCTGAGTAATATTCCATTGTATATATGTACCACATCTTCTTTATCCATTCATCTGTCAATGGACATTTAGGTTGCTACCCTGTCTTGGCTATCATGAATAATGCTGCTGTGAACATTGGGGTGCATGTATCTTTTTGAATTGTAGTTTTGTCTGGATATATGCCCAGGAGTGGGATTGCAGGATCATATGGTAACTCTGTTTTTAGTTTTTTGAGGAATCTCCATACTGTTTTCCATAGTAGCTGCACCAACAATGCAGCAGAGTTTCCTTTTTTCCACACCATCTCCAGCATTTGTTATTTGTAGATTTTTTAATGATGGCCATTCTGATCCGTGCGAGGTGGTACCTCATTGTAATTTTGATTCGCATTGCTGTAATAATTAGAAATGTTGAGCATCTTTTCATGTGCCTGGTGGCCATCTGTATGTCTTCTTTGGAAAAATGTCTATTTAGATCTTCCGCCCATTTTTTGATTGGGTTGTTTTGTTATTGTTGAGTTGTATAAGCTGTTTGTATATTTTGGAAGTTAAGCCCTGTTGGTTGCATTATTTGTAAATATTTTCTCCTACTCTGTAGGTTCTTTTCATTTGTTTATGGTTTCCTTTGCTGTGCAAAAGCTTGTAAGTTTGATAAGGTCCCATTTGTTTATTTTTGCTTTTGGGAGACTGATAACTGGTGAAATTTTTGAGAGAGTTTGATTCAAAACAACCGTTTCTGCCCTTGCATTTTATTATTTTGTTTTATTGTTGTTAAAATCTTGTCACTTCAATTTTTCTGGCACTGTCAGGCTTTGTAGAATGTGACTGAATTAATCATGTAATGACCCTGTCCTCTTCTTCCTTCAAAAGTTTAGGCAAAGCCCATACACAGGCTTTTCTGAGACTCCCTGCCTGCACCCTGAAAATCTGATCAGCAGTAGGGATATGCTGTTGCCTGAAAAACCTTTCACTTGAACAATTTTTAGAATAAGCAAGGAAAGGGATTGAAAATGTCATCAGAAAGTCATTTTCAGCTAACTGGCAGTTTTGAAGCAGTGACAATCATGGTAAAAAATTGAACATAAAATGCATAGCAAAACCACCATCACTTCCACTTGACAAAATGACCATCAGATTAAAATGCTTGAGGCACAGCATTACCTCAACATGCCTAATTCAAACTGTTCTCTTTCTCCATAATGGGTCTTTTGAGTAATAGGGCATGTCTTGTTAAATTGAGTAATGTACTTGCAGAAGTTAAGTTAGGCAACCAGAAGGTATCTGGAAATTCAGGAGTCAGAAGAAATATCATGAAGGTCAGAAGCAATACTATTGGTATCAAGTATCAGGACTTGGGAATTCAGTGAGAGTTGGTATTTCCTATGAGTCATTGAGCCTTGTAGGATAGACTTGGGTCTAGAAAATAGCAATGGAGATGTAGATCTTGGATTAGCTTATTAGGATGGGGGAGGCAGGTAGGGAGGTACAGTGAGTAGTGCTGTTTGTCAAAATGAGATACCCTTATATGTAAAACAACCCTGAGGAGGAAGGCAGCCAGGAGACATCTGAATGAACAAGGAGACACTGACAGCCAGAGCGACAGTATGGTGAGAGCAGTAAAACCCACCTCAACAATCTGCATAAGTATCCATGTCCTCATAGCAAACTGACTTGTTCTACTTTTCATGACACATTGTTTATACATCTTGCAATTTGCCTCAGAGTCATTTAGGCTCTTGGAGCCTTTTTGTGCTAAAGCTACTGGTGGAGAAGTTTATAACAGAGTGTTGCTGATGAGAATGGTAACAGTTGGTGGAACTTGTCTCCCTATAACCAAGGTACCAGTGACAAGTATTCCCCCAACTTTTGAACCTGTAAACACCCAAATATTAGCAGGGGCTGATGACTATGAGAAAATGTGGAGACTGGGTAAACATTATAGTTTTCCATTGTGATTAAATAAAACTCACAAGTTAATTGACACATTTATGATTATGTGTGCATAGTATTCTTTTGCATAATAATTAGACATAAGTGTTCTGCAGTTAATGAAAATGACTACAATTCATATTATTTTTACATAGCTGAACCAATTTGTTTTCCTCATTTCCTTTTGACAGTTTTCAAATCTTAAAATAATTAGGATCAATACTGATAATTTTCCCTGATGTCATTTAGAGTACATCCTGTTTGACCATCACCCTCCAGACACTGACATGAGGTAAAATCCAAAGCCTTGCTCATTGACATTTGCCATATCTTAACACCCTTGGCATCTACCCACGCTCCTAGGGGAGGCTCAAGGCCGAGGATCTCCATGTTTCACTTGTGTGCTGCCATTCCATTAATCCTTCACACACACACACACACACACACACACACACACATACAGTCCTTGAACAGCTACCTCCTATGACAAGTGTCCTAGATACTGTAAGACTTGAGTTGCAGAAACCCTAGACCTTGGAGGGGAAAGTGCTGGCCTTCAGTAGAGCTTGGATGAGCTTGATGGAGGAACAGAAAGGTCAGTGTGTCTAGACCATGATGAACGAGGGGAGAGCTGTGCACTCCAAGGCTGGAACGGCATTAGGGGCCAGGCATGAAGGGCCTTGAAGCAACTGCTAGAAATGTGGGTCTTATTCTAAGTGCAGTGGAAGACTGTTGAGGGTTTTAAATGGAAGACTGACATGAGCAATTTAAGTTTTTAAAATACCACTTTGATATTGTGTGGGATGGAGTAGGGAAGGGGAGGCTTCAAGTAGAGAGATTATTGCAAGAGCCCAGGTAAAAGATGATGTGACTTGGACAAAGTTGTCAGGAACAGACCTGAAGAGAGGTGGTTGAGATTAGGAAACAGTGTCAAGGTAGAGCTGAAGGTCTTGCTGATGGATTGGGTGTGGGAGTAGAGGGAAAGAGAGGAATTGAGGAAAACTCCTAAGTTTTAGATTTGAGCAATGGGGTGGATGGTAGCACCATCTATAGAGATGGGAAAATGAGAAAGGAAAAGGGTGTGTGTGTGTGTGTGTGTGTGTGTGTGTGTGTGTGTGTGTGTGTGTGTTTATAGTGGTAACAGAGTAGGAGGGGAAGGGGAAACTCCTAGTTTTTCTGTGATAAGTTTGAGGCACCTATTAGACATCCAAGTGGGCATAGCACACAAGCTGTCAGCACTCTTGGGAGGCTTCAGGGTTGGAGATGAATGTTTGGCAGCTGAGGGAATATCAACAGTATTTAAAGTCAAGGAGAAAGAATCAATAGAGAGGAGATGAGGGCTGAGCCTTCCTTAGGGTCCAGAGAATAAAGGGGGGCCTTGTAGAGTCACTCAGTGTCCTAAGGAAAACCTTGGAAGAGATGGATGTGGCCTTCATTTTTTCAGTAAATATGTAAGTGCTATTCTAGAGGCTGGAGATATGTCAATGAATAAAACAAGCACAAGTCCCTGGAGCTCTTGTTCTACTGAGGGGACCTAGTCAATAAACAAGACAATATAAACACATCTGATGGTGAGAAGTGCTGTGATGAAAAATAAAGCAAACAATGGGAGGAAAGAGCACTCAGGTCGGGCAGTGTAGTATTGCTGTTTTAAGTAGGATGGTCAAAGCAGGGCTCACTGATAGTTTCATTTGACTAGAAACCTGAAGGAGATAAGAGAAGCAGCCATTCAGAGATGCAGGGAAAGAGCATTCCAGACTAAGGGAACACAAGTGCAAAAGCCTAGAGGCAGAAGAGGGCCTGGCGTGCAAAAAGGCCAGTGAGCCTAGAGTAGAGCAAGGAGGGAGAGAGAGGAAGAATTATCAGAGAGATAAGGCCTAAATATTGATGACACTAATGCTTTTGCAGGTTCTACTTCCAGCCTCCCAATGGTGTATGAGCTAGCTATTGCTGTAAAACAAATTCCCCTCCCTCCCAAATTTAGCAGCTTAAATCAATAATAATTTATTTTCTCACAGTTTTGGAGGGTCAGGAATTCAGGAGCAGCTTAGCTGGCTGATTCTAGCTCCAGGTCTCTCATGAAGCTGCAGTCATCTGAAGGCTAGACTGAGGCCAAAGATCCACTTCCAAGATGCTCACTCACCTGGCTCTTGGCTGGAGGCCTCAGTTCCTTGCCATGTGAGCCTCTCCATAGGCTGCTTGAGTGTCCTTATCACATGGTACCTAGAGATCCAAGAAAGAGCAAGGAGCATCTGCACTGCCTTTTATAACCTCCTCTTGGATGTCACATACCTTCATTTTTGGCATACTGTGTTTTGATTTGTATCAAATAATTTGTAGACATATTTTTTCCAGCTTTACTGAGATAAAATTGACAAATAATACTGTGTAAGTTTAAAGTATACAACATGGTGATTTCATATATGTGTATATGTTGTGAAATGATTACTACTTTAAAGTTAGTTAACATATCCATCACCTTAGTTAGTTATCCTGTGTGTGTGTGTGTGTGTAGTGAGAACATTTAAGATCTACTCTCTTGGCAACTTTCAAATATACGGTATTATTAACTACAGTCACCATAGGGTACATTAGATCCCCAGAACTTATTCATCTTATAACTGAAAGTGTATCTTTGACCAGCATCTCCCCATTTCCCCCTAGGTCCCTGATAACTGCAAATCTACCATGTGCTTTTATGAGTTTAACTTTTTTAAAAAATTGTGGACATTTTTTAAACAATTCCAAAGAGATGGGTTAAATCATCTCTGAGGAGGGTCTAAAGGTCAGGGCAGCAAAGAATAGCCCAACAAGATCTATAGAGATATGGGAAGAATATATATTTACTTCATAATTATTGAATTATCATCAGCCAGCATTTACAGTTGACCGGAGTTGCAATCTGTTTGACTTTATTAAATTACCAAAACTGATTTAGGAAACTCTTTGAAATGGGCATGGTTGCTTTTGAGACTCAAGTCCTTCTTTTCCCCTTCTGTGGCAGCATTCCCCCTGTCTTTTTATAATAAAACCTCACCTGATCAGAACACGCTCTCAGGGAAGGGACATGTGGCAGTCATTTTCGCGTACATATAAATTTAAATCATTACCTCTCCAGTGGGTATTTAAATTTTAAACATGTGATACTTGAAGAGATGGCCTTTTCCCCCATTAAAGAGATTTCACTTAGAGGGGCTGTAATAGGTACAAGTATTTCTGAAGGAGGGATGGTGTGCTTGTTGGCCCCAGAAATCTCTCACAGTCTTTGGGGTCCTAGGTCTCCACATGAGAAGATGGATCTTGCTTATTTCCATGAGGGCCTTTATGCTTCTATCTACTCACCATACACTGGAGACTTTGCTGCAGTTATTCAACCACAAATAGAAGTTCACATAGCTTTTCTGTTGCATTCACTACCTGGGGATGGTGTTTACTGAGTAAAGCGATCAATTTAAAAGAAAAAAAATTCATTCTCCCAACTCTACATCTACATGACCCCAAACAACAATTTTACTCCCCCCGCCCCGCCGCAGAAGTATTTTCCATTTCCCAGTTAAAGGATTGCCTGTTGCATCTTGTATTTAAATAAGAATGTGTAAGATATTCATTCTTTAGCATTTATTTTCAGAATCAGTGAAGCAGTGGGTGTTATTTGGAACAGGTTCAGATGTGTCTTTAGACACAGGGCTTAAATTTTAAGACCCAGTTTTAGCTTAATCCATACTGGAATGATTGAGATAGCTTTTGGAGCCTTTGATTGTTTGTTATTATATATAAGATTGAAATTATATTTTCTAATATACTTAAATCTTTTACTTTTCAACATGAATAGAATGTAATTTTTTAACCAACGGATTCTATTTTTTGCACAACTAATCTTCTCCTCAAAAATATCTTTTCAGGAGCCAAATTTAGAAAGTATGTGGGTCATTCTGCACATGTCACAAACGTCCGCTGGTCTCATGACTTTCAGTGGGTATTAAGCACAGGAGGGGCTGACCACTCGGTTTTCCAGTGGAGATTTATTCCAGAAGGTGTCAGCAATGGCCTGCTGGAAACAGCACCCCAGGGTAAAACCAGTAATAATTTTTCAACATCTATTTATTTTTCAATAAAAATATCAAAGAATGGTCTAACATCTCTTCTGAAGGTAAAGAGTTAAAGCTGTTTTGAAAAATTCGTTCCTACAGTAAATTTAACATTAAAAAAAAAGAACAGAAAAAGCTTTTGAGATATGGGCCACTTGAGTATGGGTCAGTTGGATAATTTCCTTCAAAGGATTTTGCTTATACCAAATGCAAGTTGAAGGTCTAAGGTTTACATGAAGAATTAACTTTTGAGAATAACACGAACAGATACATCTCGGCCTCCTTAGACTATTCTAACAGGTGGTGGGTCTGCTGGGTCAGGTGACAAGGTAACATTTGGAATAGAAGTTGCCTCCTGAACGGCATTCAGAGAACGGTCCACAATCAGGGCCACTGTGTTCCAGTTCAATGGATGTGTATAGTCCTTTAATTTACTGTGATGTTGGCAGGAATGATCATGTAATATGTGAGGAGATGTTCTTATTGGGAGGGGTTCTGCAGCCATTTTGACCATGGCAATTACCAGCATGGGTGGGCATGTTAACAGGCTAATGAGGATCTTTACTGAACTGAGTGGTTGGATTTCTTTCTGTCCCAGCCTTCTCCTTGGGAAAACCTAGCCCCCTGCCCGCCCCCTTTTTTCCCCTTTCAAAGCAAGATTTAAAACCCAAAGATCTGTTATCTAATAGAAGTGTGGAAATAGTGGGGGGAGTTATCCTAGTCTGGTAATACTCCTGAAAAGGGGGTTAGAGGTATGGTGAACTTAACGAAAAGAGAAAAAAAAAAGATGTTTTAAGAATCTACAACAAATGAAAACTATGGTGTAGTTATTTTTATTGACCTCAATAGGAGAGAAAAAAATTTTAAAATAAAAGTTTTAGCCATTTAAAGTCTCAGAATTTCTGCTTGTGTCTCACGGGGTGTTTCTGCAGAAGGTGGCTCCGATTCCTATAGTGAAGAATCTGATTCGGATTTATCTGACGTGCCGGAGTTGGATTCTGATATTGAGCAAGAAACTCAAATCAATTATGATCGCCAGGTCAGTAAACAGGGAGCCTCATGACAAATGCCTTTTAACCCCGAATCTTGATCTCATTGAATTTGGACATTGCACTAAAATTGGTTAATGCTTAGGCAGAAGAAAATCAAGAAAAGAATTAGGGAAATTGCCTACTTCTTATCTTTAAGTACAGATTTGAAATAAGGCATTTACTGGATCATATCAGTAAAAAATTGTTACGTAGAGGTAGTAGCAAATTTTCAAAACGGAACCCATGACAGTTTGGGTTTTCTGCCTTCCTAGCAGCTAAAACTTTAAAATATTTTTTACAGAAAAACGTGCAAGTAAGTTACAAGATTTTTCATTTTCTTAGCAGATCATTAAAGCATGTGTTTTCTTTATAGAATAGGTATCCCTGGAGGCATGGTAGTTTGCAAATGAGCTGTTGTCCTGATTCCTCTCTTAACTTATGGACACCGTTATCCATTTAATTAAAGTAAAAGCCCAAATACAATGCACATTATCCTTCCAGTCAGAAATCATCTTTAGTAGAAAAGTTGGACAATTACAACCAAATTTTTTGAAAATAAACACTTAATTTTAGCACTAAATTGTGTGTATTAAAGGGCGTAATCCTTCATTGGAATCTGGACAGGTATCACCTTCTTAATGGTGATAACCCTAGGGATTCTGTTTTCTTCCTAGTCATTTAACAGAGGTATGTGAAGCAGATTCCATACGTGAACATGGAGTGAATAAGATTTCAGACACAGCAACCGTCAGTGTTGCCCCATGGAAACTTACCACATAGGCCTGTGGCAGCTGCCATGTATCAAGTGTCTCTATGGGGCCACATCCTGTGCTTTACATACACCGAATTCAACCCAACAGTAACCCCTGAGAGGCTGAGTACTTTGCCCACATCCACATTGCCTGTAGTGGGTATGGGCTTCTCTCCAACGTGCACATTGTGCGTGCTACTTGGCTTTGCCTCTACATAAGCTCTGAATGTACAACTTTTCAGATGATGACTTTTTTTCCCCAACCCATAATTGTCACTCACTGATTCAATATTTGAAAAATTAGGTTAGTACAAAAGTAGTCCAACTGATGGTTTAGGTTAACTTCAAGACTAAATCGGTTTGACTGTGTATTGTATTATGCTATAAAACTGCTAAAGATAAAGATTTGAAAGGAAATTATTAATATCATGCAAATATTACACCCTAATATCAAGGGGAAATGGAATTTAAGCAAAATAAACACACAATTTAGGGAAAAAGAAATGCAATTTTTTTAGTTGGGATGTTTCTATTTAATAAAAATAGTGCTAGTAAAAGAATGAAAAGGAATGACTCAATTGAAATTCATGCCTAGGATTTATATATTCTCCCTGACATCTTACTTTCTAAAGCTTTCACCTAGATTATTTAATTCATGTTGTCTATATTTGATTCCTGAGTTGTTCCTGAGCAGGGAGTCTGTTCTACAGATGGGACTTTGAGGCCCACAGAGGTTATGAGACTTGTTCAAATAAGCGGTAGAAATGCCAAGACTAGAATTCAGTTCTCTAAAGTAGTTGATGAGCTGATGAAAGCATCATGAATTCAGATGAATAATTATCATTAGATTTTAAAAGTTTAGTTCACTGCATCTGTAATAGACAAGGCAGTAGTGAGATATCTTCTGACTTCCGTTTTTTTTAAACGATTTTTGGTCAAATCCTAAATATGAATTTCATTATAATATTTTCATGATTTTTTTGTAATGTAGTTTGATTAAATGAAAACTTTCCTATATGAAGATGAGAAATTATGAATCGTATTTCATTTAAATGTGTTAAATTTATATCTCTTGATTGTAGGGTATAAATACATGATAGACAAAATTTTAGCTACATGATTTTATCTACATTTAAATTATCGAGAATGTTCTCTCAGCCAGCAGCACATTTTAGGTCCTAGGTTAGACCAAGAGCTTTGCTCTGTATCCCAGAGTCTGATCTGAAAGATTCATGAGGTCATGAAAGAAGGATAATTCCAAAGAGTGATCACCATGATTCATGTGGCCCACATTTTACACATTTCTGAATCATCAAGAGATTTCTTGCCTTAGAAGAAATCATAACGAAATATTTAAATTATATTTTATTGATAATTTTATTTAATAATTTCCTTTATTTATCAGAAAAGTAATATATTTTCTGGATATAAATTGATTTAGAAACATAATAGCAAAATTTTTTTTTAATTCTTTTAAATCCCAATGACTTAAAAGATATTTCAAGTTAGTTTTGTTCATTAGAAAAAAGTAAAATTCAATCTCATGTCTTATGTTCTCAATTTTGTTTGTCTTTTCAAAGAACCAACTCTTAGTTTTGTTAATCTTTTCTATTGTTTTCCTATTCTCTATTTCATGTATTTCTGCGCTAATCTCTGTTACTTCCTTTCTTCTGCTAACTTTGAACTTAGGGTCCAAACTAAGTCCAAACTTTTTTTCTAGTTCCTTGAGGTATAATATTAAGTTCTTTATCTGAGATCTTTCTTTTTCCTTAATGTATATGTTTATTAGCTACAAAATTTCCCCTGAGAAATGCTTTTGCTGTATCCTGTAAGTTCTGGTATGTTGCATTTCCATTTTCATTTGTGTCAAGATTTTTAAAAATTTCCTTTTTGATTTCTTCTTTGATCCATTAGTTGTTGAGGAGTGTGTTGATTTCTGCATATTTGTGACTTTCCCAGCTTTCTTCCTGTTACTTATTTCTAGTTTCATACTATAGTGGTCAGAAAATATACTTGATATAATTTCAGTCTTCTTAAATTTATTGAGCCTTGTTTTGTGGTCTAACATGATCTGTCCTAGAAAATGTTCCTTGTGTGCTTGAGAAGAATGTATGTTCTGCTGCTGATAGATGAAATGTTCTGTATTTGTTAAGATATTTGGTCTGTAGTATTGTTCAAATCTGCTGTTTCATTATTGATTCTCTGTCTGGATGATTAATCCGTTGTTGGGAGTGGGGTTTTACAGTTCCCAACTATTATTTTATTGATATTTATTTCTTCTTTTAGTTGTTAATATATGCTTTGTATATTTAGATGCTCTGATGTCAGGTGCATAAATATTTACCATTGTTATATCTTCTTGATGAGTTGACCCCTTTATCATTATATAATGCCCTTCTTTGTCTCTTGTGACCATTTTTAGCTTCTTATGTTTTCAAAAACTTGAGTTCCTGCAATTAAAGAGAATGTCAAGACATTAATATATTTGAAACCTGAAGAGTCTCTAACTAAATGTTTCTGTTACGCTTGAAGGTTTACAAAGAAGATCTACCTCAGCTAAAGCAACAAAGTAAAGAGAAAAACCATGCAGTGTCCTTCCTCAAACGAGAAAAGGCTCCTGAGGACAGCTTGAAACTCCAGTTCATACATGGGTGGGTGGTCTGTCACCAATCTTATCACCTTGTCGTCCTTCTTCTCAGTGCTACCCCAATTCAGGCTGGCTCTTCTCTCCAGTTTGCACTTACCTGTGGTTAATATTTTAACCACGGCTCTCTGTCCAGTTTTCTCAGTGTTCTATGGCCATCTCAGTGTGTGTATCTAGATTTTTCACACTTCATGTACTTTTGTGTTGCATGTGTTACTACCACTCATTGTTATTTCATTTTATTCTCTCCATCTCTGCTTCCTTTATCCCGTAACTCCTGCTCTATTCAGCTGGCTTTCCCAGGACAGTATTTCCTTCAAATGCTTTTGTTCACGTGTACCCCAAATAATTTTGAATTTTGAAAATCATGTACAACCTTCCACACTTTAAGTTAACATCTAAGCTTTTTCAATCTAAGCTTAAATGGTTGTGAAGAATATATCTTGTGTTTTATGAATACTCACATTATTTATTTAGATGGCTCCAGTGGAACCCAAATGCATAGATATTTGATTCCCATTATCATCAATATCGCAAATACATGAACTCATATTTCTATTCTACTTCTCCTACAGAATTTTACCCTAATATAATATTTTTATGCTTGTAAGTCTTTTATTGATTACCCTGTCATAACTTCAACAAGGAAAAAACGTATCTATATGGTCAATTTAAATTTAATTCTCCGTGACCATAAGTCTCTAACTCTGTGCTGTCTGGTACGATATCTACTTGTAGCCAACGATCACTTGAAATGTGGCTGGTCTGAATGTGCTCTATGTGGAAAATGCACACCAGAGTTTGAAGGCTTAGCATGAAAAAGAAATTTACCTCATTAAAATGTTTTATATTGATTACATGTGGACATGATAATATTTTGGACATAATGGGTTAAATGTTCTTAAGTTTCATCTGTTCCTTCTTTTTTAATGTGACAGTTAGAAAATTTTTCAGTTACCTATGTGACTCACATAATAGTTCTGTTGGACAGTGCTACTCTAAGCATTAACAATTTTTTTCTGGATTTAATTATTGTTATAACTATTAGTAATAAATAGCTGGCCAAATCAACATAAATGTAGTACAAATTCTGATAGTTATTAAACATAAGTAATTTTATTGGAAAATTTCTTTTAATAAGATAGAATTGTTTCAATGAGTTCAGATATATGTGCATATATATTTCTTATTGCTAGAGGGTAACAGTTTAGCATTGAATCTATTCCAATTTTTCACTTTTTAATGTAAGCGCTAAGAAAGCTTATTCATATCTAGCTACTTAAGTAGATGAGAACAGAGGCAGTTTTATCACAGCAATGGTGATCAGTTCTTTAAACTCCTCTTTGTCATAGACCAAAAATATGTGGCGTGATTTTGATATATCACACAAAAATGTAGTTTAGTGATCCATCAGCTAAGAATTCAGTTAAATCACTGTTCAAATTTGTTAAAAGCAAAGAATTGGAAGTCACTTGACTTGCAAAAGGATTTCTTACCCAGTTGTTAGAGTTATTCACTTTCACCATCCATCCGCACTTGTACTTGTTTTGGTGTCCCTGGAAGGTTTGACATTCCAGGGTAATATACCATAGTAAGATTCCCGATGGATGAGAGGAATGACTTCCTAAATTGGGAGGAAGGCGATTAGGAAAGGGGAGGTGGGAAAGGAAAGCCAGTACCTCATCACAGGTGTGTTCTCAGACTGGTCAGTTTTAAGAGAAAGCACATATGGTACCTGAGGATCTGGAAATAGATTCTGTTAAAATTATCAGTGTCCATTTGCCTCTTAGAAAGTCATCACATGCCCTCAGAGGTCCTCATACCCCCACTGACGATCACTGTCCTGGGCAACTGTGGAGACACCTGGGTTCTGCTTGTCCATGTCCATATTAACATGTTAACTTTATCTTCTCACAACTTCTGCTCTGTTCATTCACTGTGCGTTCAACGACTGTGCATCTCTTGGACCTGTGCTTCAGCTATAGAGGCTATGATTGTAGAAACAATCTGTTCTACACACAAGCTGGAGAAGTGGTCTATCACATTGCTGCAGTTGCTGTTGTGTACAATAGGCAACAACACTCGCAGAGGCTGTACCTGGGACACGATGATGACATTCTCAGCCTGACCATCCATCCAGTGAAGGACTATGTGGCCACTGGGCAGGTATATATCTCTCCTGTAAGATGGGAGTTTAGCCAAAGAGAGAGAGGATTTAATTTTGAATTCAGCTTACATATGAGAAATTCAAGAAATACTTGGTAGAAATAAACCTAAGGCAGGAAGCTGAAAGTGCAGTGAATGCTGGATCATTTCATGATGGTGGGAGAGTCAACCAATACATTCCAGCACTTTTGGGAAGGCTTTGAGGGATTCTTATTCTCACATGATGATATCTATGAATAGGGTTAGGTAAAACTAGAGTATTGTAAATTCCATGAAGTCTTAATGTATTTTCCTCATTACTGTTTACCCAGAACTTAGTATATCCTAGGTACTCAGTAAATGTTTATTGAATGAACCATCTTTTAATACTACTGTAACATCCAGTGTATAGTTATTTTTGTAAAACTTAAAGTCATATGAACTGTGGCTAGTTTATTGTACTTTAACCTTCAAAAAACTAAACTTTATATGAACCATTTTGGAATGCCAAACTTCGGATTGAGTCTATAATTGAAATGCTGCTCAAAATAGAGCCCTGTAGTCAATCATTTTGTGTGGAAAAGGAGGGGGATAGAAGTAAACTCAGTAAACAGAGAATCTGTTGTTAAACTCAGATTTATTGTCTTGCTGGTAAAGCAATACTATTGTCAACAGTATTTTCAGTGTTGTGCTCTTTTCTACCAATGTATAGGTTACATTTTTGTTCAGTTTTATCATGGGCTTTTAACTGTAGGTAATACTTCACCTGATCCTCAACATCTAAGTGGCAAATTCCAAGAAAATTTTTGACCTTATGAAGGTCTTTTGACCTTATGAGACAACAAACTATTTCTGAGACTTGACATACAGGAGGTAAAAGTGTTTGAACAGGGTTTATAGCCTGATGTTCATGAGATCCATGGATGAAACTGAGGGCCTGACGGGAGTCAACCCCCAGAAATGTCCATCTGGGGGGGAGAAGAGTTCGTAGCTCTTATATTTGTAAAAGGATTACAGTCCTCCAAAACGGAAGAGCCATTAATTGAAAAACTGGTTTGCTGCTCCTCCAACGGCAAATTAGACCATCTATTCTGATATTAAGTTTTATAAGTAATTGATCACTACTTTGCCTTTTCACTCTTTCCTGCCCCCTCCCCCTTTATTGTCTTTCTTAGAAACAGAAGATGCTTGATTCATGGGTGTTTAATAGTCTTCCTTTGAAAGAAAAAACAGAGATTGGTTCTTTACATAAACCCCTGAGGAGTTACCACACTCCATACTGTAATTGGGAGGCAGACCAGTATGCCAATAGCCACTCCAGGGGTAACTTAGCCTCCATAGGCCAGTGTAGGAGTTGGCCAGACTCTGCTCAGTTATGTGCATGGCTTTATGTCCCATTTTCCCTTTTAGAGTCATCATACCCAAAAGGGTTTTTTCCCCCTATGCATTAGAAGTGAGGAAAACCACTTTAGTATTACAGTTTTCTCTGTTGTTGGGAATTGGTATGATAGAAGCTTGTGTTCCCTTGAGGAGAAGCCACCTTAATGACAGAGAGTTAAGCCATGAAACTTTCATTTCCCAGGGGGAGAAGTAGGGTCAGGCCTTCTTGAGGCGGGTAAATAATTGAGGTGGGTAAAAGAGCTCTGAGGATAGTGCCATGAAAACATACAGCTGAGTGGAATCATGTGTGGAGTTGAGAAGGCAGAAGGGAAGGGTAGAACTAACTGACAGAAACAAAGCACAGTGGACGTTTGAGCTAGTTTTAAATATCCCTTAACTGGGAGCCATGTACCAGGTTAGACTCTGCTGGCACCCACCTTGATGCCAGAACAAGACCCTTAGACCCTGTGCCTCAGTTTCCTCATCTGGAAAACAGTGGAGTTGGACCAGATGGTTTCCCAGGGTCTTCCTACTCTCCAAATGTGTGGGTTTTGATTTCTGAGCAGCACTTGACTCTAAGGAACAAAATCATTCTTATTATAGTTTATGATTAGTTAATAACACTCATCCTGTAATTTAAGGTTGGGAGAGATGCTGCTATTCATGTGTGGGACACACAGACTCTAAAATGTTTGTCACTGTTGAAAGGACAACATCAGAGAGGAGTGTGTGCGCTCGATTTTTCAGGTAAGCACCAGTTTGCCACTGGAGTCATTGACAGATGCTTCCATATTTACTTCGGGTTTGTTTTTTTTTTTAAAAAAAGATCCTTTTATTTAGTTTAGTCCTGCTTGTAAGGAGGTAAGCCCTTCATCTGTCAGCTACCCAGTCTTAGACTGGAAATCAGATGTGTGAATGTGATCACACCTCCTTTCCTCATCTTCCTCATTTTCTCTCTCCCAACTCGTTACCCAGAGCTCACACTGTATTCTGCATTTGCTTGAGAGATGTGAAATCCAGAGCAGCTGTTACCATTGAAAGACTTAGTTGCAAATGTCTGGCAGTGACTCAGAACATCAGTTTCATCTCTCCAAATAAGTGGGAACACAGCACCTGTGATTTAAAATGTAAAGAACTAGAGCGAGGGGTGCAAATTCTCTGCAAAGGTCCACTTTACAACACTGGTGTTTTGGAAATAAAATTTCATATTGAAAAATTAGAACTGAAGTTTCCATCTCCTTAATTTAAAATTTTAACACTGTGCTGTTAAAAAAAATACTAACTTATAAATATAATTTTCTTTAGAATAAAACCATTTCTTTATGCTAGAATTGAAGAATGAGGGCCTATCGCAAAAGGTGTTTTTAACCTAGAAATTTTTAATAACCCCAATGTAGATATTAGATCTGTAGAAAAAATTTCTAAACTTTCTACAGAAAACTGATTCTGTAATTTCCTTTTTCTAAATTTCGTTCAAATGTTTAATATGTGCAATGTGTATAATATTGGTTGTTAAATTCCATTTCACAACCCCAGTCTCTCTCTTATGTACCTCCCTCTCTACTCTCCTAGTTCAGGCCCGAACTTCCTCTAGTCTGTGCATGGTGGTTATGCTGGTCTCTGATTCCATCCCCACTTTGTCCAATCCATCCTGCCCATTTCTGGAGTCTTCTGGAAGTGCAATTACATTGCTACCACATAGACTCCCCTTGGTTGACTGACTCAGGGCTGAGCCCATGTTTGGACATTCATGGCCTTCTATGATCTGGCCTCAACCTTCCTTTGCAGTGTTTTCACCCACTAACCCACTCGTGCTCCTTTCCGTCTACCTAACTGTAGAACCTAAATGCATTCCTGTCCTTTTTGCCTGTGTTCCTTTGCTCATGCTGTTACCATGTGTCTGTTCAAGTCCAACCATCCTTTAAGACCAAGCTCAAAGTTTTCTCCTCCATCCTTCCAGGGAGAAATGTCCTGTCCCTTCTTCTGTATCCCTTAGCCCATTTGTTGTCATTGCTCTTGTGGTACCTGTTAGAGTCTATGTGGTACAGTAGTTATGTGTCTTAGCAGCTCCTGTGCCCTTCTCAGACAGTAAACTACTCATCTAGCCCATCTCTCTGTTCCCCACTGCACATGCTGTAGAGACACAGAAGCTACTCCAAAAACGTGAATGAATGAATGAATGAATGAAGTTTTGCTTAATGCTCTCTGTCTTGCCTTTCACTACTGCTACTAGAACTTCACATTGTAAACCATCTTTGGATGAACGTTATCTTTATTCTCTGACCAATCACATGGTACAGATTTGTGTGAGTGTGTCACACGCTTATTCTCATATGCTGTAACCTACTATACAAATCTGAGTTGTTATATCACTATTAGAAGTTATTCAATACTTTGGTTATTGAATTAGTAAAAATCAAACCTAAATTGTTCATACTCTACGCTGGTGGGCATGTGAGGTACATAAGGCATGAGGAGCAAGGAAGAGAGAATTACTTGGCTACCACCTGCCAGTTGAAGGCCCAGATAATGCACCTGATAAACGGTGAATACAAAGTCCTAAACTTCCAGGAGTTTGATGTACATACAACTTTCATAAGTGTACCATGTATCCTTGATAAAGCAGTAAAATCTAAAATGAAACTATAATTTGAGTTCAAATAAGATTCTATTCCAAAGATGTGAATGGATTTCTGCTTTTTTTTTTATTTTAACAGTTCTACCTGATGGCTGAACTGTGTTCTTTTCCTAAATTAACTTGCTAGCGGATACACATGTGTATACTTAATATAAAAATTATATTAATCAGTATGTTCTAGAAGAGTGGTAAGATACCCATTAAATAAAATAATAAAAGCTAAATGTGCACTAGGTTATGGAGACTCTCATATTCATATTGTCAGCAACTTTGCAAATTGACTCAATAATTCTAGTAGACAATTTGGCACTGTTTAACAAAAGCTATAATTCAAAATGACAAGTATGTGGACCATGTGTATTTCATACACATTTCTATGTATCAAGTTAAGAAAAAAAGTAGAACTCAAAGTATCTACTCACTGATTTCAACTGAAATGTGTGTATGTGTATTAATGTATAAACAGTGGCAGGAAATTTAGAATACTAGAAATAGAATTCAATAATCATCAGATTATTTTTTCTAGAGAATTGAATAAATTTTTGGTTTTTAAATTTAGGAAAATCAGAAGAACTAACTCATGCTGAATACGTTTAGAGAAGAGATTAGAGGAATGTTGATCAAAAACATTGATTATGAGGCAAGTTAGTAGCAATAAGCTGGTACCCAGTAACTTGATCTCTGCATTTCTGAGAGCTTCCGTCTCTTCTGGGCTTAGTGGTTTTATAAAAGGAAGATCGAGAAATTAGCTGCACTTAGAAATCTTCCCCTCGTAAGGCAGCCCCTTACGTCATTGCCCGGGATAGAGAAACCAGGCACTCTGGAAGAGGCCGAGAAGCTGATTCTGTCACTGCTTCTAATTCCCATTTTGGGAAAATAAAGAAATGCCCAGATATAAAATACTTTCTGCATAAAAAGGATATTTCAGTTTTAACAATACATTCTCTATTCCCCAGATAATAGTCACTAAGGAAGCGTCCATTTATGCAGCAAATGTGGGGTTTTTTTGTTTGTTTTGTTTTTTGTTTTTTGCGGTACGCAGGCCTCTCACTGCTGTGGCCTCTCCCATTGCGGAGCACAGGCTCCAGACGCGCAGGCTCAGCGGCCATGGCTCACGGGCCCAGCCGCTCCACGGCACGTGGGTTCTTCCCGGACCAGGTCATGAACCTGTGTCCCCTGCATCGGCAGGCGGACTCTCAACCACTGCGCCACCAGGGAAGCCCCGAATGTGGTATTTTTGATTATGGAAAATTATATTTTTGTCTCAGAGTTGAAATACGATGTTAATTTATAAATGGCAGAAAGGAAGCTAGGTGATAGTTTGAGAAGGCGCTAACATTAAGGACCATTCAGGAAGTAAGGAAGTATGTACTGTGTTTGATCCATCACCGTGTATGGTTACATGCAGATGAACTGTGGTCGATTGATCTTTGTGGTCTCTATGGCCCTACTGAAGGTGTGACCTGAAGCCTCTTTGGTTTAATTTATATTGATAGTAGTACCTTGTGTTATAATGATATAGCTTTAGTCTTAAACAGATGCCTGCACCACTTTATAGGCCAAGTATGTAGATACAGAGAGTCTGGTTGTATGGCTGCGGTAAAAGTCAGACAGTGGCAGATCCAGAGCGAGGATCCAGGTCTCCTGGCTCTCAGTCCCGTGAGAAAGCCACCAGGCCTGGGGCCGTCAGCTGGTGGAAGCCGTGCCGGCTGTGCTCCCCCTCTCGGTCCTCCTGCCCTTTCCTGCCCCTGCCCTCCGCCAGGGCTGGTGTAAACTTTTAGCATGAGAGTTGTACCTGGACCACTCATTGTGCCCCCCTACTTCCTCACTCCTTCTACCCGATGGCCAGTGCCTCCAGCTGCCTCCACCCCCGCTCTCCAGTGTAAATGTGGTGTGGGCATGGTGGTGCATAGAGGCTGCCACGTGCAACAGCACCCTCGTGAAAAGAGACCCCTGTCCTAGAACAGCCATGAGTCAAACACTTTCATGAGCAGGAGTATCTATCCCTTCTTTTTGGATGCTTGCAGTAAAGTGAGGAGTTCAAGTCAGAATGCTGAAAGAGAAGATGATTTAGGTTTCCCAGTTTAACCATGTAAACAGGACACCTACATTGGTTATTACCTAGCTGGTGGCCCCATCTGAGTGCCTCAGCGTATCTCCACACCCACCTGTCTCTTACACGTCAGCTCATCTTGGGGGGTGTTGTGGAAACCTGCCGATAACAGAAAGAAATTAGAGAAAGAGATTGTCATGGAAATACAAAGCGGGCAAATGATGTGAAAACTAGACAGCAGATAAGCAGTTACACCTAGGACTTTAGATTAATCTATTCTTGCCACTCTTCCAAAGCAAACAAAAAAGATGACATTTTTAATCAAAACCATTTCTAACAACATAACCCATACCTCTAAATTATGTCAACTAGAAAGAATGAATTTATATTGTGTCACTTAATTGAGCAACTCGTTGTGGATTTATTTTCACTGTCTGGGGAAAACAGAGCCGTCTTTGCTTCTGTACTTGCAGACAGGAAAGTGCTTCCACATGAACAGAAAACCAATTAGAAAGGGAAATGTTCAGATATAAATATATTCTAGCCTAAATATCATCCTCATATTTTTAAAAACCTTCATTGAATAATACTGATTTCCACAAGGGCACATCTAAGACTAGTGTGATTTCATTGTGTCGGTTCCAAAAACCTATGCATTTTTTATGAGCCCTGAATACAGGACCAACTTGTAATTATCTGAGTAAGATATTTCTCTTTCTAATTTGCCCTTTACTGTTGACATTAAGCTCCTTAGAATTATTTCTGGACTATGTCACAAAATATCCATAATTAATACATACTGTGACTGGAAAGATTTGAAAGGACATTACTTAAACCCTAAAAATATGGTTGAAAATCAAAAACTCTGACTAAATGGTCAAGGAACAATGGATTTTCAAAGCTAAGATCAAGCCTCTGTGAGGGGAAACAAAAACTCAGAAAAAGTTAAAGATAGCCAATTATATTTCCAAACTGTGTGGTATGTAGAAATTGCCCACACCTGCAGAATTCAAGAAACAGTCACCATCCTAAAGAAGAGGTATGGTTGTTGAGGCACCTCTAGATTTGTTCTGCTGCTTCATTGTTACTCATAGTCACAAACTGGGGTAGAAAGGTGGTATAACTGGGAAGACAAGCTGATGGGGCCTTGCAGAAATTCCAATAAAAAGAAGCAAAAAAAAAAAAAAAAAATCAACTTACCCTGAGGACTTCTTCAAAAGACATAAAATGTAAAAGAAAAAAACCTATCATTTAAAATGTGTGGATGTTTGCATTCTAAGAAAGACATACTAATATAGCTACACAGGTTACAAAAGAAAACAAAATGTAGAATTAACAAATGCAAAAAAAAAAAAGAGACACTGAATATCTGTGCAGTGCTTTTGATTAAAATTTTTATATAACAGAATATTCCCATTCCCTCTGCACCATCCGTAGGCATATTCCATTTTTATCTCCCAGTATCATCAGAATTCATTGAAAACCATCTCAGTACGAAGATCATGTTGGAAATGTGATACAAGTACTGTAAGTCTTAAATAAGAGTTTAGGATCTAAAAAGGGAGAGAGAACTCTCTAATAAAAATAAAATCACCAAATACAGAGACATGCTAATATGGAAATGTAACCAGGCCACACCAAGAGGTACAGGAAAAGTGATGTTGCTGGTAATGAATCGGAAGTCATCACCAGTCCCTTCTCCCAAATGCATGAAAAGACACGGGGCACAGTTTAAAGCCTGGTAACATTTAAGCATAAAGACATATTGTGATTAAGAAGACACATTTGTTTATAATACTCACCTGGTGGTGATTTAGGCCTTTGTCAAAGTGTTAATGTCTTCACCTACTGTAGTCTAGGAGCTTGAAAGGGTTAATGTAACTTTCAAATCCTTGCCTCATACTTGGTGGTAGTAGAGGATTGGGGAGGATTTGGTTTGTTAAGCCAGGCTCTTACTCTCCTTTTTCCTCCAGAAAAGGAGCAGACTATGGTTCCCAGTTGGTCGGGGGAGGGTCTCTGGAACAAGTAAGGGCACCCAAGGGTTGGGCGTTAGTTAAGCAGCATTTGGGGAGGGTCACCAGATATAGCAAATAAAAGTACAGGAGGCCCAATTAAATTGGAATTTCAGATAAGCAACAAATAATTTCTTAGTACAAGTATGTCCCATGCAATATAATTGCATGCAATATAACATTGCAAGGGACATACTTGTACTAAGAAATTATTCATTGCTTATCTGAAATTCCAATTTGACTAGGCTCCTTTATTTTCCCTGGCAATCCTAATTTGGCATCTACCCCAGGGCTGTCTTTGAAAATACCAGTTGAAACCCTGAGTGGGCTGTGGAAAACGGTTTATCACATACTCATGTTTCTTTACCCTAAGGCCATTGGCTGTGTGTGGCCGGAGAATACACCCTGCTAAACTGAGCCTTGGTGAGCTTGGCCAGCCATCTCCTAGCCCACTCCAGGCTAGGGAGGAACTGCTGACCTGAGATGTTTCTCCTGTGAAGCTTTGTGAGGAGGCAGCAAAGGAAAGACTTACTGACTGTACCTCTTCTTCTGTCTTGAAATGAGAAAGCAAATTAACTATTTTGATTTCAAATTCATTTACATATCATATATATTTTTTTATTTTGGAAAACAACCTGTCCGAATTATTGATAGTGTTATAAATAATATTTAATACTAAGGGAAAATGTTCATCATATAACAAGTAAAAACAATAAGTAAGAGTATGTTCATTATGATCCTGGTTTTGTCTTTTCAAAGCACGTTTAGGTAGAGAAACTGATAAGGATATATATCAAATGTAGGCCTAGAAATTTGGATGATTTTTAAATTTCCTTTGTCGCTATCATCTAAATGTTCTACAACAAGCATATTACATTTGAAATAGGGAAACTAAGACATTAAGATTTTTTTAAATTATAAAGTCATCTTTTGAAAGAATTTTCCAAGTTAGTTTCTATGATGCTCTTATTTTGGAGGGTTGAACAGAACCAGTTGTTTTTTTTTAGAGCGCAATAGACTGAGTCACAAAGTTAAATGGCTCTTCTAGTAAATGTCATGAGATTTGTCTGACACAAAATAAACAAGGTTTTGGTGACTTACCTGAGAAGCTCCCCCCAGCCCTGTGTCTCAGATTGGAATGTTGGGTCAGCGATTTAATTCAGCAACCAGTTATTATACATTGAGAACCTCCGCTATTAGTAGTTATGCACTTCATTTAGTGAGGTCCCCTTAGTGTATTATTCTCCTAATGTATTTGAGCCTAAATAATATTCTTAAGATCAATTTCTTGTTCCTCTTTACAGTATATAAAATGTTGTGGTTTTTCATTGAGAAATGAGTCATTTGACATTTGTGTTGTTTTCATACAGCCGATGGAAAATGTCTGGTGTCGGTTGGTTTAGACGATTTTCACAGTATTGTATTTTGGGACTGGAAAAAGGGAGAAAAGATAGCCACCACCAGGTAAGAAGCTGCCGAGGTCTTAACGGCATCCTGCCAATGATCACACTGCAGTAAAAGTTAATAGTTTGCATTTTCTGGTAAGATTTCATCTTCAAACTCAGATGAAGTTCCCATAGAAAGCTTAACACCTAAGTAAAAACATATTGTAATATTTCATGGTGACAAACCTGACATAGAGGAATTAATGTTTCTTTCAGGCAATTGGAAAATTCTGAAATCCTTTCCAGAGAGTTATTCATCACTTTGCTTTTAGTAATATATGCATTATCTATATCAAAGCTTCTTCTCAGCAGTAGGAAAGCAGCTTTCCTCAGACTTGTGCCTTGCCCCTTGTTTTTCCACTATCTTAGCATCTAGTGAAGGACTGTCAATGTCACTGGAGTCAGAAGTTCCACTTGTCATGAGGCTGCAGCATGCAAGAAAGGAGGCCTGGCGTGTGCACCTGCCACTCGCTTTCAAAGCAGGCAAATTGTTGCCCTAATCTCCCCATCTTATAAATAGACCTTCCAAGACCACCTGCTATTTATAGGCCACCTGTCCTCCCTTGCCCCAGCCTCCCTCCCTGCTGAATCAGCCCTAAGTCTGAACACTACTTTCCACTCCTGCTTACATTGGTCTTAGCTGTTTGCCCAGCCATAGTCGGAGGTCAAAATAGTTGGCCGCCAAGGCCCAGCAATACAATTTGTTGCCCAAGGCATGTTATCAGTTTATCTCTCTACTGGTTCTTCCCTGCGTAAACCAACTTCCTTTTTATCTGGCACCATAAAATCATTTTTAGGTTAATGACTTTTAACCCGAATATTCACTTTTTAAATTGATATTTTAAATTATATAGGAAAAAAGTGTTTTTTGGCAATTTGATTTAATGAATGAAAACCTATAGATTGCTGGAGACTCAGAGGAGGAGCAAATGGAGGCTTGAGGACTCCAGCTGACCGTCTTAGGAGAGAAAGAGGAGCTTTTCTGATGACTGCTACTGAGATGGAATTCTTGGCAGCAAATGACAGCTCATAAATCCGCCTACCCAACCGGTTTTCCTTTTGCTCTCTCTAGTATTCCTCACAGTTATACCACTCCCCGCTAATACTCAGATTCAGCTTCTAATCGCAAGTCCGCTTTCCTTCTAGATTAATGTACTGAATTTTACTTTAGTATTTCTGATAACATATCACCTGCATTACAGATAATCTCTGGCAAAGCACATGTCTGCATTTCAAAAGCAACAGAAACGCAATTTTCCTGCTAGAAAACCCTCTGCACATGTGGGTAGCTCACCTGTTATATATCAGAAACAGTAATAGAAATGGAAGAAAGAAATATTTATTAATATTTTAGAAGTATATATTTGATATGTTTGATAGTGTTACTTCTATTTAATTAACACAAAGTGACTTAACACCATTATGTTAATAATACAGTTTATTTTTAGAATTGTTCCCAAGCCATATGTCACATTCCCCTAAGAGGACACCTGCAAAGTTGTCTTCAGAGACCAATTCTGCAATTGTAACATTCACCATTGCTCTATCCAAAGAGTATCAGAGATTGTTAAAGTTCTTTGGATGAATACTAGATTTTTAAATAATAAATAATATTTATACAATATTATCAATCATAAATATTTATGTAAATAAGTAACCAAACAAATTAAAATTCTATTTATGGCCTGAGATTTAGGTGCTTAAGTAGATAGAAACTTTAAAAACAGGGACATGAAAGAAGTGACAAAGAAAAAGGAGTAATACTTTACCAGTGGGACCTTACTGACCTTACTGACTCCAAGGGTCTAATTTACTCTCAGAAGATGGCTGATTCAGTGACACCCCTCACTCTGCACTTCTGCGTCTCACTCACGGCCTGCATCGCCACTAGCAAGGCTTAACAACAAACCTGCTTCCCGCAGGTCGTGCGGTTCTGGCAGGTAATGTTCTGCAGTAGCACCCGTCACCCAGGATGTGAGATTTCCCCATGGAGGGAGGGGCACAATGGCTGTGATGGCATCACCGGCAGTACCGCTGCTGCCCAAGGCTAACGTGGACCCCCTGCACTCAAAAGCCGCCCTTCAGTTGGGAACATGTTTAAGTGAACCTATGTTTTTATCAGCTCAGAGAAATTAGAGAAGTTTGGAATTGGCCCATAAAGATCTTATTACAAGATCTTGATGAGACTTGAATCAATCTCTTTGCACAGTTTTTTTGGATCTTTGCTAATTTTCATGAATGACCTCAGTCCCCTCCATTACAAATGAATTTTTTAGTCTCTTTTTCCTTTTAAAGATTGTTCAGATTTTAGTCTAATATACAAGTAACCTATGTAATAACCAAGAGTAATCTCTTAAGGGCAGTAGTGAAATAGCCTGATATCAGCGTCAATCAGGGCAGAACAATGAGATAATTAATCAGGCACCTCTATGTCCCTTTATTTAGATTTCCATCACACCAGTAACATGACTGGGGGACAATGGCTAATTATTATTGACAAGCTTCATCTCAGAAGTTTGAACAGTGGGGATATTAAGCAAAAGGTACAGTTATCAAGTTGCATAACAAGATTACTTCAATGTTAGTGAGAAATAGTTGTGCTACTAAAAAGCTTAGGGACAAAACATAGGCCCACATGGAGCAGGTACATAGACCTTCAGCGTATGTGTTAGCTCCACTGCTTGTTCTATTTTAGGTCCCTACCCTTACATACATTTAGTGAATGGGATCAGGTCTCCTGCATACCAAATTGAGATCTTTCTCACTTTCCTTTTTAAAGTTTTCTTCTGTTTTCAAAATAATACATGATTATTAAAAAGTTAGAAAGCACAGAAAATCACCAAAAAGAAAATGAAAATGATTCATAATTCCACTACCCAGACATAGCCATGGCTAACATTTTAGCATATGTTCTCTGGTATATATTCTGCTAATATTTTTATCCATTTTTATTCATATGTGGGGTATTATGCATACTGCTCTGTAACTTGCTTTTTTTTTTTTTTTCACTCACCAGTGTATCATTTTCCTTTCTTCTTCTCAATGTTACCTGGCTTATTCTATGTTATTCTATATTGTAAGCCATTTTAAATCTTTTTTAGAACTGGGGTATAAATCAAACATTCATTCAGTCTTCCACTTGTGGGCTACCTTCACAAAAAAGGAGAAAACCAAATCACATACACTGAGACTGGGCCTCTATGCAAATGAGAGGGTTTTGAATAGAAGATTGGGAAACCAACTCACGTGTTGTGCAGGTGCCCTTGGCTTCTAGAAGAGGAGCGTTCCTTCCCTTTTCCCTGTACTTGCTGATAGAGTTTAAAACGTGGCCCTACGTGGTGAATTACCTATGACTCAGGTCATAGGAATAGTCCTGTATTAGGGCAGCAGTATGGACTCTCCTACATTCTTATTCCATCAGGGTAGGACCTGAAACTCTTTTCATTCTGTTTTTCTTACGCACACACACAGTTGTAGGCAACTTCTCTACAAATTTAGCAAGCGTCTAAAGGGAAAAATAACAGAGGTATTCAAAGAATGTTCTTTATTTAGGTGTTGACATTAACTAAACATTTGCGTGCCATCACTAGTCAGTTTAGAATTTTAGCTACAAGATAAACAACATTGATGTTTTTATGACACCAAGAAATGAGGTGAAAACTAAAGTGTGCTCTCAAAAAAGACTTTTCCAACCATCTAATTGTTTGACATTGTATAGACACTAGCAAACAAAACAATGCTCTTTTCTATGTATGGGATGTAATTTGTGATATCTGTTCTCAATTTTCATTTCAGTTTTCTCTAGCATCTTCTCTCTAAAGTTTATATTAATGATTTAGGAGCTGTGGGGATTTTCCTCCAATCAAGAAATCTTTGGATGTTTAGTCTTTCTTATGGTTATCTGGTTCACTTCTCCTCTTTATGTTAAGCACATTTTCTCTTCTCTTTTATCTAAACCTTTTTCTCACTGTCCTAATTGTTCCTGATACTTTCAGTGGACCTGGTGTCCAAGCTTCACTTTTGACTTTCAAAGAAACAAAGAGAGAAAGTTCAAAAATCAGTTTCTCCTCCTTTCCCTGCCTTTCACTGTAAGGCCTACATAATAGGTATGGAGGTGCTTTGTTCTTTCTTTACTTTTCTTTTAACTTTTTATTATGGAAATTTTAAAAGTTACACACAAGCGGAGGAAACAGCATAAAGAACTCCCTTATACCCATCACCCAGCTGCAACATCCTACAAATGATACAAAGCTCTTCGCCCTCCCCTCGTTTTTTACTTTTGCTTTCTTTTTTGCTATAAAATTTTAAAGAAAACTCAAGACATTGTGTCACTTGACCAGTATGTACTTCATTAGGCATTTCTAACTGAAAAGACTTATTTTTAAAAACCACCATTCCATTATCACAACTAACTAAAGCAACAGTAATTTCTTTCTTTAATTTATTACTCTATTTAAAATCAAACATATCTGACTGTTTCAAAAATGAGAGTTGGTTTGTTCAACTCTGCATCCAAACATGGCCCGTGTATTACGTTTGATTGTCATCTCCCTTAAGCCTCTTTTATTTTATAGCAGTCCCCCTCCCACCTTATTCTTGCCATGGATGCATTTGAGAAACCAGGTCATTTGACCTATAGAATGTGTCACATTCTAAACTTGACTGGGTCTTCATGAAAGCATGTCAGGCATTTCCCTGTATTTCCTATAAATGGTAGTTAGATCCATAGGCTTGGTTAGATTCACATTCAGCTTTTTTTCCCTTAATACTAGTATTATTGATAAATCATATACCATACAATTCACGCATTTTAAAGTGTACAGTTCAATCACTTTGTAGTGTATACAGATGTCAACTTATAATGCTGTACACTTGAAACTTATATAATAAAAATAAATAAAGTGCGTAATTTGATTTTTTTAGCATATTTACAGAGTTGTGCAATCATTAACACTATCTAATTTCAGAACACTTTCACCACCCCAAAAAGAAATCCCATACTCATTAGCACTAATATAC